TACTTTGTATATATTTATGCACAGTGATAAAAATTTATCAAAAGACCACTAGGATCAATTCGTCCACTTTCACCTCTAATAAGAGGAGAGAGAGATTTGAATGCTAAATGAAATTTGGATAAGAGGAGAAAGAGTGAAAAAATAAATAAGAATAAGAACCAATCCCATGATTTGTGTATTATGTTTACTCATTAATTATGTACTTAATTTGTAAAAAGAATTGCTATTTATGAAATAAACAAAGAGTGATGCCAGTTTTTTAGATAATTCTAAAGAAATGCTCAACCGTATAAAAGTCTCTTAATAATATGGTTTACGATTTGAATCCCATAGAAATCTCACTTTTTGTGGATGAGCCCCTTCAGCAGCATTGATGACAAAAAATGTTGCGAGTCCATAATGCAGAGGCCCAATATTTTCTGGCGTTAACATAAATGGGCTTCTTCATTTTCAGCTTTAATGGAAAAATGACACTGTATAGCCGGTGTAAAAATAATAGTCCAAAAATTATATAAAATTTGTATATTTTTTGTATATATATATATTTGTATGTTATATACAAAAATTATACAAATTTTATACACTTTTTCGGCTACCAAATATAAATAGTTTCTGGCGTGGGTTAAAAGTGATAATACTCCAGCTTTTATTGGTATTGGGCCGCAGACCATTAGCCCATCTGTATAATTATTGCTCTATTTTGGAAGGAATATTATCTCTATGCTACATTATAAACTTATTTATCCCTTCTAGAGGGGATATCACTTAATTATGTTAGCGCATACAATTCTTTACTATTTTTCTTCTCTATATAGATATCTCTCTCTCAGTTCCTCTTCGATTCGACTTTTGCAGATGTACTTGCTTGGAGCTTTGAAGAATGGTGAAGAAAAATGAGTAAGCTGGTTCAAAGCCATAGAACGCATATGTGAAGCACCAACACAAATGTTTTACTAGAAGCTCTTTATGATGAATAAACAAGACATTGTCTACATGAGTGGTGCTTGGAATGAGCTTAGATTTAGTGGTGTGCCCGAAATGAAGCACACTAAGATTATCACATTCGAATTTCAGTTCAAATCAGATGAATTATATTACGTGTTTGAGTTACATAACAACGTATTGTATTTTGTTTTTGGTGAATCATAATGAAACTAAAATTTAAAATTGATATTTTGACTTAACCGAATAATTAAAAATAAAATAAAATTTTAAATCAAAAACTAAATTAGACCATGAAGGCATGAGCTTAAACTCTATTGATAGCCACTAAAAAGTTTCAAAGCTTTAAATTCGAAAATTAGATTTTTAAAAATTGTTATTTGTTAGGTAAGTTCTACAAAGTAGTGGTTAGACCGACTATATTGTATGAGACAGAGTGTTGGTCAGTCAATAACTCTCATGTCCAGAAGATGAAAATAGCTGAAATTATAAGGATGTTGAGATGGATATGTGAGCATGACAGATTAGATAAGATTAGAAATGTCGTTATTCGGGATAAGGTGGGTGTGACCCTCGTGAAGGATAAGATATAGGAGGGGAGGCTGAGATGATTCGGGCAAATTAAGAATAGAAGCACATATGCCTTATTAGGAGGTGTGAGAGGTTAGCCTTGGTAGGTATGAGCAGGGGTAGAGATAGGCCAAAGAAGTCTTGGAGAGATGTGATTAGGCGGGACATAGCGCAACTGAAGCTTACTAAGGACATGGTATTTGATAAGAGGGTGTGGATGTCGAGAATTTAGGTAGAAGGTTAGTAGGTAGTTGAGTGTTCCTCTGTATCTCTCTCAGTTCGATAGCATTAGTGTTAGTATGATGATATCCTTTTATTCTTAGATTGCTATTACTACCTATCGTTTAATTACTATCTTGGCTTCAGTCTCCTTAATATCTTGTTGTTGTTATTATTTGTTGTCACTACTTCTTTTCATCTTTTCTTTAGCCGAGGTCTATCGGAAAACATCCTCTCTACCCTCATAGGGTAAGGGTAAGGCTGCGTACATCTTAACCCCCTCATACCCTACTTGTGGAAATTAACTGACTTTATTATTGTTGTTATTATTTGATTGAATTGAGTATTATTTCAAATGATTGGGAATATCCTTTGGATTTTATATCTCAATTTTGAGAGAAATTGGTGAATATTCGAGTTAGCTTTGGTTGGAATTTTAGATTGAAACTCGAGGAAGAAGACATAAATAAATTGTGTGTATTTTATTGTTAGGTGTATAAACGACATACAAAATATATCCAACTAACATAATTGTAATATAAGTTGTAGTTTTTTTATCGAATTATGCACAAAAAATTATACACAAGTTATATGTAAATTGTAGTTTTTGACCAGATCTATACAATAAAAAATTATATTAAAGTTATATATAAATTATAACTTTTGACCAGATTTATATATCTTGTAAAGAACTTTGGTTATTTTTGTAAATAGGAAAACCTAGTTAAACTTCGGGTAAATATTGTCCTAATTTTGTATATGTACAAAACAAAAATCCCTTTTTGGAATCCGTTGCAATTTGCAAGTATTCATTGAATAATTTATCGCCAAAAGCTAGTTTTTCTGCCTAGAGATTTTGCCATATCTTTTGATGATGTGGTATTGAGGTTCAAATTATTTGGAAAAGGGGTCAATTTTAAGGAGGCCATTTTAATGATTAAGTTGATATATTCCCGTGCCAAAGGAAGAAAATACAAACATTTAATTTCGAACTTTATCCACTGATAGTATGCGAAGAAATTTTGTAATTTTAAGTAGTTATAATAGGTTATCTGTACACATTTGCTATTGATAGTTAGCTGTATTTGTATAACTTTCTTATAACTTAGTTGTGTAAAAAGATCTTCGTCCTAGGAAAGTTAAACTCATAATCTAGATCGAGTAAATGGCCAAAACTTTTTTTTTTAAAGTTATTATTATTATTATTATTATTATTATTTTAACTTCAATAGCTTGAAAACGCGTTTCTTACCACTTATGTATTCCGATCAGTACCATTACGTAATGAAGGCGAAATGTCAATGAGTTATCTTCTTAAACAATAATTAATGAAACGTTAATTAATGCAAATTAAATTCTGAACCAGCTTAATAAATTCTCATTAAAAACTAAAACGACTTTAAATTGAGATTAAGGAAGAAGTGTAGTAGTTTTGCCGTTTGGCCTGCATATTCTTTAGAGCCTTAACAATTTGGCGTTTTTCTTTTGCTTTATACTCTAATTGTTAACTTCTACTCGTACAATATCTTTCCTTTATTCTATCCAAACACTTGTCTTGTTTATCTTTCTTCAAAAAGAAAAATTAAAATCCCTATTCCAACATCTATATATACATTCATAGCCAACTAGTTTATGTATATATTTTTGCCAAGAAGAACATCTTCTCTTTATTGATATTTAGCGTCTTATTGTCATCCTTTCTCGAGCATGAGTAACTACAATAACAACCAGTCTCAAGGTGATTTTTCTTAAATTAAGATAATACTCATTCTCAATCCACTTATTTTAAATTTTGGATTCGCCTATATTTTTATCGCTCTTTCATATTTTGATTTTAGTAGATCAGTCGAAGATAGTGATCAGTAGCGAATCTAGAGCACGACCTTTTGGTTTAGATGAGCCTCGTGCCTTTCGTATACACCCTATATATTTACATACAGTGGCGAAATCAGAAATTTTTCGAATATAAAATATAATTTTTGACCTATATACTCAATATAATTTTTTATTACAAAGTATAATTTTTCGATGAAAGATGTTCGGTTGACCCCCTTTCAATGTAGACACTGTATACATATAATACAACATATATATCAGTGGCGGACCCAAGTGGTGGACAGCGGGTTCAACTGAACCTGCTTCACAAAAAATAATACTGTGTATATGTATAAATTAAGATTAAAGTTATGTAAATTTATCATAAATATTTTATTTGAACCCACTTGATAACTACTATTTTACTACTAAATTTATATACTTCTAAAATTGAACCCGCTTGCACAAAATTCTGGGTCCGCTACTGATATATATATAATTAAGGAAATTCACTAATTATCCGTAAATAACTTACCCCATTCAGAAGCGGATCCAGGATTTAAATCCTATGAGTTCAACTTTTAATGTTTTTAGCATTGAACCCATTATATTTTTAAAATTATGGGTTCATATCCACTATTTTTACAATTTTAATAAATTTTTACACTGCGTCGAAAGTTATAAGTTCAATTGAAAAATGTTAGTTGTTCACTACATCCGCCTCTGACCCCATGAGGGGCGAAGCTACGTTCCATCAAGGGTGGTCAACTGATCATCCTTCGCCAGAAAATTATACTCCGTATAAGGTAAAATATTACTTGTTATTGATTAAAAATAGACTTTGAAAAATGTTAGTTGTTCACTACATCCGCCTCTGACCCCATGAGGGGCGAAGCTACGTTCCATCAAGGGTGGTCAACTGATCATCCTTCGCCAGAAAATTATACTCCGTATAAGGTAAAATATTACTTGTTATTGATTAAAAATAGACTTTGAAAAATGTTAGTTGTTCACTACATCCGCCTCTGACCCCATGAGGGGCGAAGCTACGTTCCATCAAGGGTGGTCAACTGATCATCCTTCGCCAGAAAATTATACTCCGTATAAGGTAAAATATTACTTGTTATTGATTAAAAATAGACTTTGAAAAATGTTAGTTGTTCACTACATCCGCCTCTGACCCCATGAGGGGCGAAGCTACGTTCCATCAAGGGTGGTCAACTGATCATCCTTCGCCAGAAAATTATACTCCGTATAAGGTAAAATATTACTTGTTATTGATTAAAAATAGACTTTGAACACCCTTACATAACCCACTGACAAAGGTTTGAACACCCTTATTAAATTTTCTAGTTTCGGTACTGGACCCCATTATTATAGTATATTAACTTGAGGTTCCTTGAGAACCCATAAATTTGGATCCGCGTATGATTGTAATACGTTTTCTTGAATAATTTTCAGGAACTTATCCTCCACCAGAGACTGCTTGTCCATATCCGCAGCAGACTCAGGGTGCTTACGTGGCTCCTCCGCCGCCGGCTGGTTATCCGACGGGAGAGTACGGTCATGGAAATTCCTCCGTTCCGGCCAAAACTCAGACCAGGGGCGACGGTTTCTGGAAAGGATGGTAATTTAGTACCCTAATCATAATTATAGCTTTCTTGTTTCTTTGGTATTGATTAATTATTATATAGTTGTTTGCTAGTATAATGTTACAACCAGTTAAAAGATAATGATAAGTGTATATATATTAAATCCGTAAATCTATATTATATATGCGTATAGGAAATACAGCACAATTATACTTATAAGGTAATTATAGAAAAATTTCTATAATGAGCTTTATTTGTAATATGATAGGAGTAAAAAGAACTAACCTCCTATAATAGGTTTAGCTACATTAGACAGCCAAAAAAGTTTTTTATGAAAACCAAAAAAAAGGTTGTTTGGAAAATGATTTCTACTGATTTCAAAATAACTGCTTATCCAAATAAATTCAGCTAAAAATTATTTTCTAGATAAACTTTTCAAAATTATTTTTCTAAAACATGCCTATAAGGTTGTTATTCAAATGCCAAGAGCCACAACCTTAAATCCCATCAAGTGAAATTTTACATAGCTTTTGTTAGGTTACTCAAAGAAAAATCACAGGGCTTTAAAATTTGGGTTTATTTATCGATGATATTGAATTCATTGCTTTCGATTTGAATTATCTATATATTTATATGTATAGTTAATAAGATTATTGATTATTCGTTCTAAATCTACGGACTCTAAATTCATCTTAGCAAGAAAATTCATGTGTGAACAAAATTATTGGTATGATGTTGCAGTTTTGCTGCATTGTGTTGCTGCTGTGTGTTGGACGCTTGCTTCTAAGGACTGATAGAAGACTGTTTTACCGAGCTTGGATTTCTTTTTTCTTTCTTTGTTTCAGTTATATTTTCGGTTTGTTTTGATAAAGAACGTTACTTTTCATTTACTTTCCAAGAAAAAACAAGAAAATAGAAAGATAATTGGTTCAAGTATACTTCATATCTTCATAACAAAATTGAACGAATGCTTTGAAGTAGTGGAGCTGAACCCTGAATCTTGCACATAACATGGTCCTACTAGTATTCCGAATGGAGATAGCGTATTAGATATGGGTTCGGACAGATTTAATATATTTTCCGAAAATCCTATACTTGTATTAGGAAATTACATGTATAAATATTTAATTGGGAATTCAATAACCAAAAATGATTATGAATTCAATGACAAGTTCAAAACATAAATTTCAATTGTTAAGAATTACTAATTAATTAGGTGTGTCAAATGGGTAGGATCGGTCAAACTAAACGAGTTGGGTTACATGAACATTCATTTTCGTAGAGAGTAACTTAACTTTATTACTATAAAGTCACTGAATTGAAGGAGAGGCCTGACGTAACTGGTAAAGTTGCTGTCATGAGACCAGGAGGTCACGGGTTCGAGCCGTGGAAACAGTCTCTTGCAGAAATGCAGAGTAAAACTGCGTACAATAGACTCTTATGGTCCGGCCCTTCCCCGGACCTTGCGCATAGCGGGAGCTTAGTTCACCAGACTGCCCTTTAAAGTCACTAAATTATTTATTGTACGGAAAAGTCACTTAAATATAGGTAAGTAAATAAAAGCCAATAAATTATTTTTTTATAATAAAAAAATCACTCAACTTTATCCAAGTATCACAAAAAAGATAATAGGAGAAAAACAAGGTTATTTTTCTAATATAATATGTACGCAAAGTTGAGTAATTTTTTGGCTATAGAAAATAATTTATTGACTGTCGTGATAATTAAATAAAATTGAGTATTTTTTTCGTTGCAGAAAATAATTTAAAGACTTCAATACAATAAAGTTAAAATTGAGTGACCATCCGAAAATTTACCCGGTTAATAAGTGGGGATGTGAGAACTTGTCTCTTTAGGATAACAAGTGGATTTTTGGCCATTACAAGTCCTTATCTAACATTATCTACGAGTACAAATACCTTATCTTATATCATCAGAAAAAGGAAGAAAAAGGGAAACAAGAAATATATCTAATTTAAGCTCAAGAGTGAAAATAAAAAAATAAAAAAAAAAGCACAAGAATGGATGCAATTCAACAATTAGGACTTCCAGTACTGGGAATTATAGCAGCAGCAGCTGTTACATTTTATGTAGTCAGCTTTTCAGAGATTAGAGAGGTATTATACTTTTCTTGAACTCTAATAACTTACTTAAAATACTCTGTGTTTATTAATGTTTCATCTATTTTGGGAAAGTGTAGAAATCATTTAGAGATTTTGAAGATGCAGAAGAATCAGAAAGTGGTGGATTCAAGTATGTTAGCTCTAGAGAGAGAAGAGCCAGAAGAAAAGCTGATAAAACAAAACCCAAATCATGAGTCTTAAAACTAGTACAGTCTAGTGATATTGGTGAGTCTCTCGCAACAATGGAAATCCATATTTTTTTTTTCACAGTCCACGATGTAATGGAAATCCATTTTATTTTCAAATATGATTCTATGTACTCAGCCATATATCCTAATTTTTCTATTGCATTGCCTCTCCCACACACTTAAACTTTTATGTTCCTTTAATTTCAGTTAACCAATTTGGCTGTAAGATTTGTATGAATATGTTGTTTTGTTTGGTATCTCTTTCGTAGTCATTGAGTGAGTTCTAGCCTGAGAGAAGAGTTCAATAAAGCGGAGAGGAATTTTCTAATAGCAGAAAAAGATTTCTAGCAGATTTCCATACAGTAAATCATTTGAATTTTCATGCGCATGAAGTCATGTTGCGTAATGTGATCTTGATAGACATTCAGGGGCTTATCCAATATAGTAGTTGCTGGTTCATTTGAAGTTTGAAGTTTGAACTCATAACTTTTAGATTAGACCCGTAATTATCTATATAAATCCATTGAAATTGTTAAAATATTGAATTATGATCGTATAACTCAAACAAGGTGATAGGTTTTGTAGTTGAAACCCGACTACTGCACCTACCAAATTAAAATTTCGGATCCGCATGTTGGGAAAATAAATCCCCACAGAAATAATATTCACGGTATATGATTGTAATAAATACGGATTACTAAAATACAGTAACCAACAATAATAATAATAATAAGAGAAACAAGGACACTGAGATTTTTACGTGAAAAACCCTTCTGAATAAGGGAAAAATCACGGTCCGAGAGGAGCAACTGATTTCACAATAACAAGGATTTTACAATTTATGGTACCTAGTAAAATACTCCAATACCACTACACACTCAAAAGAAATAACCCTCTTTTGATTTTTCACCTCACTACAAATATTGCTCAAACTCTCTATATATTTCCTTATAGGGTATTTTGCTTCTTACTATGTAAATCACTCTCTTTCTCTCCGTTTGGTGTATCTTTAACTGAATCAGGAGTTATTTATTTATAGACATCCAATACTCCTTACTTGCATCATGGATGACATCATCATAATGTAAATGTCAAAGTTTCACCTTGTGAAAGCAATGAAAAATCCGACAACTCAAATCACATTTCCTGTAGATTTGGCAGCATGGTACTTTATGCCAAAGGAAGTTGGTCTTCCTTTCTCATTCATGGGATGGACCCCAAAATCTCCCCTTCGAGTCTCATGCACCTGAAGGGGGTATCTCCAGTTTTTCATATAGAATTCATGCTGACAAGTTCTTTGCATAGCTCGAACTTGTCTCTTGGTATTACCTTGGTCAATATATCCACAAGATTTTTACTCGTGTGAATCTTCTTGACCTGCTCACGAATCCAATGATATCTCACATCGATATGCTTTGTTCTTGCATTGTACATGGTGTTCTTGCTCAAGTCTATTACACTTTAACTGTCACAATAGACGATATACTCTTTTTGATGAAATTCCAGCTCTTGAAGAAACTGCTTGAGCCATACCATCTCATTGCCAGCTTCTGTAGCGGCAATGTACTCTGCTTCAGTTATTGAAAGTGCAATGCACTTCTGCAATTTAGACTGCAATGATATAGCTCCCTCTGAAAAAGTAAATAAATATCAGGTAGTGGATTTTCTATTATCAGTATCACCGGCCATATCAGTATCGGTATAGCCCTTCAAGAATGGATCTGATATCCCAAAACACAAGTATTCATCTGAGGTTCCTTTTATATACCTAAATATCCACTTCGCAACTTCCCAATGTTCTTCTCCGAGATTATCAAGAAACTTGCTAACATTACCGACATCATGAGCAACATCAGGTCTGATACATACTATTGCATACATCAGTCTCCCGACGGAAAAGGGATATGGAACTTTATCCATACTTTCTCTATCTTCATTTGTTGTAGGACACATTGTCTTGTTTAACTTCATATGACTATCAAGAGATGTGCTAACTGGTTTAGCCCTCATCTTGTTGAAGCGTTTAAGCACACATTCAGTGTACTTCATTTGTGACAGCAACAACTTTTGATTTGTCCTATCTCAGACAATATCCATTACTAGAATTTGTCGTGCTGGACCCAAGTCTTTCATGTCAAATGACTTGGACAAATCGTCCTTCAACTTGGCAATCAACTTCTTGTCTTGTCCTACAATCAGCATGTCATCCACATATAACAACAAGATGATAAAGTTATTGTTAGCGAATTTCTTATAATATATACATGAATCTGAAAAAGTCTTTGTGTACGTTTCACTTCTCATGAATAAGTCAAACTTCTTATACCACTGACTTAGCGCTTGTTTCAGCCCATAATGACTATTATTCAACTTGCACACCATGTGTTTCTTCGCCTTTACTTCAAAACTTTCTGGCTTCTCCATATAGATCTCTTCTTCCAAATCTCCATGCATTAACGCATCCAACTGCTCCACTTCAAGATCTAGGTTAGCTGCCAAGTTTAAGATTGTTCGAATATAAGTTATTTTGACAACAGGTGAGAAAATTTCATCAAAAATAAATACCTTTCTTCTGTTCGAAACATTTTACCACAAATCGAGTTTTGTATCTGATCAGCTTGCCATTTTCATCTTTCTTGAGCTTAAAGACCTACTTGCACTTGAGCGGTCTGTTGCCTTTTGGAAGTTCAACCAGTTCGTACGTGCCATTCTTCTGTAGAGAATTCATCTCTTCTTGCATGGCTTCCATCCACTGGATTTGTTCCGGATGAGATAACACCTCCTTTAAATTCTCTAGCTCCCCCTCATCAGTGACGAGGATATACTCTGAAGAAGGATACCTCGTGGACTCCACCTTCTCTCTTTCAGATCTTCTCAAAGGTTGTTGTCCTTCTTCTTGTTGTCGTTTGACGAGCGCAAAAATGTTACGACCCAAAATTCAACTAGTCATGATGGCACCTAACACATCCCGTTAGGTAAGCCAATTATCAACTAACAAATTTTAATGATAATTATTAAAGCAATTTAAGTGAATAAAGATCCTAATCTTATACAATCCCCAAGAACTGGTAGTACAAATCATGATCTTCTAAGAATAGAGTATACAAAACAGAAATAAAATAAATACACAGTCTGTTTGAATAATATATAAATAGAGCTTTTATAAATCTAAGGCTACCCTGAACAAGAGGC